GACCACTTCTAACAGACCTTAAACATGCGGATCCCACTGTGCTTTAAATGACTCTGCAAACGTTTTGCTGCCACTTACCGAAAGTGTGTGCAAAACGAAAGTGAGAGCGAGGCCATGAGTCAACAAAAAAAGACCATGCAGAAATCGTCAAAAATCTCTAATAGAGAATACTGTTAAATGCTTACGCGACAGAAGCCAACTGTTTTAAGTACCTCTGACAAGTCTTAGTACATCACGTTGGCATTCGTCATGAACTGAAGCGATGCCTGGGCCGATATCAGCATATTACAGGAAGCACTGAGTTGATCCTCAAAGAGAGCACAGATGAAACATCATCGTCACTACGTCTATACATAACGTTTGAACTGCAGATGCACCAGCATTTCTGCTAAACTATGTTGCGGTCTGCCATGTGCAGATAGGACAGGATAGGAAAAACTGATTCTTTGTTCATGCGTTTCACGATGCATTGCGCACTGTCTCCTAGAGACTCATTTAAGCTGGGCATACCTCTGTGGTATTTGGCAACAGCATGACACTGGAATCAATTTTCGTAATGATAAAGGGGATAAGCGTTTTAAAGAACTACTTTCATGTCTAGCCTCAAAATTAATTACTGCCACTGTCACGCCATTAAGCAAGCGTGGGTTTCATCATCGCAGGATTGAATCGTTTTACGCACACCACTGAGAAACTGAAAACGCACAACGCTCTGAGGAAACAACGTCGTTGGGCGATCACAGCGAAGACGACCCCCGACACACACATGTTTAAGAAAAGCAAAAAACAACGGTAATTAAAATACTTGGTTGTTGCGTTGGGGTAGTCAGACTGAACGCCAATCAATAAGGCCGGTTTGCAGTACACAAAGAACATCGGCGACAGCAACAGACTACCGACCGCCATAATGATGCAGAACTTCAGCGTGCACCTGCAGCTCATCCTTAATCGTTTTACGATATATCCGCTTGTCATCGTACCAAGGCCAGCGAAAGGAACCAGTATGAATCCTAAAAACTCTGTAGTAGTCGTGAAACCTGCAAAGCGACGGCGATTAAAGTGACAATCAATAAATTCATAATCTTTTAAAAATTTACGTGTACACCTTATGCTGATTTTTAGACAACTATCAGGTGGGCCAAGACAAAGTGTAGCCAGAAGGCTCGCGCATCAAACAGCATTGTTAGGCATGACCACACCAGAATACCATGCTTTCCTATTATTCAGCCAGCAGTTAATAAGAGAAAATTCACGCGATGCGTTGGGTTTGATATCGCACTCTAACGTGCCAAGCGAACTACCAACCCACTGCGCCACCTCTCAATATTATACGTAATGCCGTAAAAATTTTAAGCATGAATCAGATCCGGGTACTCGCTTTTAAGT